TCTCTAACTAAAGTACACACAAAATTCATTCTTGCTGGGGGTGTTCAGAAACAATACCAAAACCAAATAAACAATGTCTCAACATCGACAAAAGTAGTGATTAAGCAACTAGAAAAAAACGTTTCAACATCAACAAAAGTAGTGATTAAGCAACTAGAAAACAATGTTTTACTGCGTCACTCACTCTGATTGTCCGATTCGATCACGTTATCGCGTCTGAGTTGTTATCTTAACACTTAATTAAGCTTAGACTTATTTAGTTTCTGCTTGGACGACATTTTTTCCCACAAGGTCTGAGTTTGTGAGATCTTTGTCTCCTGTGGAGTTATTGAACGCCTTGTGTAGTTTTACCTGGTTTCGATGTACCCATTTAACAATTGGCTCTTTTTGGCCTTTGCTGATTTTGATCTGGTAGACAACTGGAGACAGTTTGTCTGTTATCAGGTGGGGTCCAGTCCACCTGGGCATCAGTTTGCGGGCGAGAGTTCCGATCCCGAACTCTCCTTTCCCGGTTGTGGGGGCAAACGTGTAGTACCAGACCCTATCTCCCACTTGGAGTTCCTCGTGAGAGGCCTTTTGGTCATAGTACGCCTTTCGTCCTTCAGCGGATTTTTCCAGGTTTCTCTGGGCAAAAGCAAAGGTGTTTTTAAGGTGTTTTTCCAAGTCATTCATGTATTGTTGTGTGGTGTAGGCTGTTGCCATGGCGGCATCACCTGGTTGGTACAACAGGTGTAGAGGGAGAGTCATTTGTCGACCCGTCATCATCTTGAAGGGAGAGATGCCAGTCGATGTGTGTGGAGTGGCCCTTATGGCCATGAGGACCAGAGGGAGTTTCACGTCCCAGTCCTTGTGGTTTGCGGCTACGTATTTCTTCAAAATACTTACCACAGTTCTGTTTGCTCTCTCCACTTGGCCTGAGGCTTGTGGGTGGTAGCCAACATGGAAGTTGACTTTGATGCCTAGCATCTTCCACAGTTCTTTCATCACTTAAGCTGTGAAGTGTGTACCTTGGTCTGAGTTCACCCTGAGGGGAAGTCCAAACCTTGAAAATACATGATTCATTAGTAACATAGCAGTTGTTTGTGCTGTGTTGTTAGGAGCTGGTAGGCATTCTACCCATTTCGTAAATGCGCAAGTTACCATGAGAAAATATTTATTTCCTCTAGTGCTCTTAGTAAGTGGTCCAACCCAGTCGATCTGGAGGTCAGACCATGGGAATGCAATGCCTCTACATTGCAGTGGTGCTCTGTGGAGTGGTCTGGATGGCTGAAACTGGTCACAGACCAGGCACCCTTTTATGTAGTCCTTGACATCCTTTTTCATTCCAGGCCAATAAGCAACTTGTTTTAATGCTTTCAGCGTGGCGTTATCTCCCTTGTGTCCTGTGGACGGGAGATCATGCACGTGAACTAACATCACCCCCCTGTGGTCATGGAGGACCACAAACACGGGTGAGGACGTCGGTCCATGAGCAAAAGTTAGGATGCCCTTGATTAGTTTTAGCTGTTTGTGCAGCTGAACGAGGACTTTAAGGTCTGGATTGGAATCCAGGTCGGCTTCAGACGGAGTGTTTTTGTCTGGGTCAGTCAAGTACAGTATCATCGAGTTTATCGCAGGATCCAACTTCTGAAGTTGGATGATGTCTGGGTCAGTCAGCACGGGGTGTACAGAAACTGTGTTGTCAACCGGTTTGGCTGCAGCCTGTGCATGTGTGACTGCCATTATCTCGGCTGTAGGTTGTACTGACAGAGTTGCGAGCAGCCAGGAGGGGTCAAAGGACCACGGAGGGCCGTCCATGGCTCCGTCCTAGGCTAGGAAGTCTGCAAGGTCATTATACCGCTTGTCATCGCCTAGGACTCTTGAATGTCCTGGGACCTTCTTCCAGTAGACTTGTAGGTCATGTGATGTCACCAAGTGATCACATGCCATGTAAAGCTCTTTGTGTTTGACCACTTTCTTGTTGCTTGTGAGAAAGCCGTTCTGTTTCCACATAGCGAGATGACTCAAGAAACTAATTCGAGCATAATTAGAGTCCGTGCAGATGACTAGCGTTTGGATGGAGTGTTCTACTGCCATCTGGAGAGCTATAAGGATTCCCGCTATCTCAGCGTACTGAGAAGACTGAGAGCCTAATTTATAGCTAAAAGTGACCTCTTCTGGTCTCGGAGGAGGATCCCTCCAACACCTGATTTGCAGGATTTTTCGTGGTGGAATGAGCAGCCATCCACGTACAGTGTTGTCATATCTTTGCAGATATTGCTATCAAAGTAGTGGTGATTCGGGTCCTCACTTACTGAGGGTTTTTCCACAGCTGGCAGTGGGGTGACTGGTACATCTTGTGTACATTCCTGGCAGACCTCTGGAATGGTCTGTATAGCCATAAGGTTTGCTGTGTCTAGCACAGCCACAGTGACCACAGTACATTGTGGCTGGTGTCCACTCGGACACCTAATCTTACCAAGATGTCAGAGCCTATGTAGATTGCATGTGGTAAGTCTGGTGGACCAGTTCCCGTTGGTTCCAGATCAGTTTCAGGTTAATGACTCCTTTCGCAGTCATCACTCGTGAACTGTTGGGATAAAATGGAAAGCGGAAAGCTTTCTCGATCAGAGCTGGACCCAAATGGTTTTTAAACAATATCCTGATGCATGCTCAATAATCCAGGTAGAAAAATCCAAAAAAGTTCAATCTGGTCCTCTGGACATTCAAAAAAACATCAAGTTCACACGAGAAGATGTAAAAAATGGCAAGTTGGCTTTCTTTGACTGTGAGGTCTCAGTCTCTGATAGAGGACATTTGCAAACTGAGGTGTACCGCAAACCCACCCACACAGACCAGTATTTGCAGTTTGACTCCCATCACCCTTTGGAGCACAAGTTAGGAGTCATCAGGACTCTGTATCACAGAGCAGACAGCATCCCCACTAGCTCAGGAGCCAGGCAGAAGGAGAAATCCTACACAAAAAAGGCTCTAGAGCAATGTGGATATCCTAACTGGGCCTTCCTGAAAGCAGAGAAGAAACCCAAACAGGACTCCAGTCAGCCATCAGGTGAAAAGGAGGAACCCAGACT